GGCAGTGAGAAACCATGGGGGAAAGCAGGCAGTCAGTGAACACAAGAGGGAAAGCAGAGACCAGGGAAGGCAGAATGCTGACAGGCCTGCAGCCGTGGCCCAGACAACATTGATTGGAAGTAACAGTGAATCAGGGACAGATCTAATAAGAGTAAGCACTTGTCATCATGGGACTTGGATGCCTCCAGACTAGGTCAGATCAGGCTGGACAAGGTCATCAGGAGATCCCAAAACTAAGTCAGAGGGGACTGCCGGCATGTTGGCCATTGGTGTCAGAGTCTATGCCAATCACTGATGGCTGCTGTAGCAAGAATGGCTGCTGGCGTGTTAGTGGGACCTAGGATAAGCCAGCAGCACTGGTCTGAGCTTAGAACTATTTTGGATGACCAGTGTAATAGTTCAAAACAGAGCTTCATATCTGTATTCCTTATGCATTAGTCTTGATAAATATAATGTGAATGTTCTCATTTCTAGCAAAATACTACCAATTGCTGTTGAGTTAGTACCCACTCATGACAACCCCATGCACATTAGAGTAGAACTAGGCTCCATGGGGTCTTCAATGACTGATTTTTCAGAAGTTGATCATCAGACCTTTTTCTGCAGCACCTCTGTCTGGGTAGATCTTTCAAAGAGCTTATTTGAGCTTATTTCATTTAATAGGAGCTTATTTAAATAATTAGCAGCATATTTTAATATAAAATATGTTAAGGACATATTTTATATGGTACGGTACTGTCAGATAAGCACTCAACCATAAGGTTGACTTGAATTGCAAGGTCGGTGCTTCAAATTTACCAGTAGCTCCTTGGACACCCTATACAGGATCCCTGTGAGTTGGAACCCAATCGACAGCACTTAACCACCACAACAAATGCATATTTTATGAAATGTAGTTTGAGGTATTTAATATGATGTAGAATTGAGAGATAGATATAATTACCAATCCTAGTGTAGAGGACATAGTTTGAAGGGACTTAAATCCTTCTCTGACAACAGACCTCTGGTCCCATATTCCAAGTGGCTTCCTGTGGTGTTGTTAAGCAAAAGATTCTACCTGGCCATCTACTGCAGCTATGATCATGGGGTTTTGTCTTTTCATTCAAATTCATTCCCCTGGAAAGTGGGATTGACTAGAAGCTAATGAATGAGACTCAAACAGGAAGAACTGGCATGATTCCCTAGAATTGATAATTCTAGAAGAATTTATCTTTCTGCTGGAGTTGCTAAACTGGATGCAATCTGACATTGAAAGCCTTTGCTGTCTTCTGTCATGAAGAGAAAACTCACCTGCAGCTTAGATAATGAGGCCCACACAAATCAAAATCTAGAACTGAGCAAAGAGTTGGATGGGATGGGAACAAGGGTTTGAGTCCACAAATATGAGATGACATGCAAGAGCTGTGTCTTTGAAATAACCCTGACGTGCTCTGAAACTGTTGATGTACCAAACTAGTCTAGTGTCTTCTCCATAGACAGAAGTTGGAAAATGTAACGATTTTTGATGGTATCAGGTATGTTTTATGAGGAGCAGTTTGGGATTATCAAATATGAGCATCGAAAATGGTGTTAAATTAGCACTATTGGCAAGGATAGCAGGTTTCTCCCCCTGCCCCACCCCCATAAAGACATTTGTTTTAGGAACCACATATGGTAATATTTTATCAATAAGATTTATATCCCATTTATAAATTAGGACTTAAGGTCTTCTATCTTTTCGGATAAAGTGCAGCCAGAGTGCTCCTTGGAGGCCAAGATGGCTCTCATACTTTGGACATATTGTCAGGAGGGAACAGTTGCTGGAGAAGGATGTCATGCTGGGTAAGGT